TGATATAGGCATTACTGTGGTCTAGTTTTGAAGGGTTAAGGTGTTGGTGAAATTATAGCGCAGCGGCAGTGCCCCTTAGATTTTTGCGATTTAAAGCTCTGAGTGGCACTGCAACTGTTATGGACAGGCGTGTAGCTTACCATTAGGCGTACGACTTGTCCGTCCCGTTTTTGATATTATAAAAAAATTGATATAAAAAACACATTTGCTATTGTTTTCCTTGTTAAGTGTTTTGGCGCTTCGTCGGCGTTGCCGCGGCACGTTCGCTTTCAAAAGTAATATCTGCTCGGTGTTCTCGTCGCGGAACCTGAATTAGGCTTTGGGTTTACATACATTATATACTAAGTACGTTATAGATGAATTGTTTATATAAAATCGGGTTATACCATTGTTGTATTAAATTGAAAGTGGTTACATCAATAGCTTATTATTATTTTTTTGCCTGTTCATAGCAATTGCAGTGTCACTCAAAGCTTTAAATCGCAGTGATCTGACTGCCATTGCGCCATTCACCTTGAGACTTAAATTGACAAGTCCCATGTGCCTGCACTCTTATCCTGCAAAACTGAACGCAGTAATGATCACATTACCACTTGGCGACAGAAATAGGTAAGATGGCATCACTTCCCTGGACCAACTCTTTCACAAGGAGTTCTAATGCTACAAACAATCATACTGAATATTAATTACAATCTTTGAGCGTTATTTTGATGACTAATATTCAAAGCGAATAGATGAATTTGAATTTAATATAACATTTGTTGTTACATTGAATGAGCAAAACCCGAAATAAACTGCGACAATCGACGACATACGTTTGTTGACCGTCTCGTCTAGTATACTTTTAACGACCTGGCAAGTCAACTCTATGTTCACCTGTACATAAAAAAGCTAATACAATTGTGAAGTAAAGCCAATATCACTGTAATCTTATCTATTACATCTACATTACGCAACCTCGGTTTAATAAGGGACATCTGCATAATGAATAATTTTTCAAGAGAGATGAACGATATTAATCGATAAGTTTTTTTCTATTAAATAGGAGAGTTATATAATTTTATATGGCTTTATTATACCAATCACAGGATTTTGCTGTAGCAGTGGCAGCCTTTATATACGGTGTAAACTAAATTATTTTACACTTACAAGAGAATAATTCCACTTTTTTATTTTTTTATTCATGATCAAGTTACAAAGATCCATAAATACTTACCTTTTAGACTAACATACATACAATAACATAATAACACTATTTATTTATTTACACGTACGGACCGCGACGTGTGACGTAACGTGGGTATCCGGTAACTGTCCTCGGAAACGTCTGTACATGACACCCTTCGGTCAAAGTCCTCCTTTATGAAGGTCGACCGGATGTTGAGTTGGTGCTCTCACCACGATTGAATTAAAATTCACATTATGGCGAGACTCGACCTGCTCGACTCTCAGGGCAAAATTGGCTTTCACCCGAATGTAGTCCGCAACATCCGCAGACTTTGTGGAGTAATAAAGACGTGACACGTATAGCAACATCGTCCGTACCACTGAACGCAATAGATGATTGGGGCCAGTCGCGCGGTGCCACTAAGGTGTACTTCTTTTTCTAATCCACTTTTTTGAAACCATCTCGTGGTACTGGTCTACTCGTCTGGATGGTACTGACGACACAGTTGTGGAGGTACCACTCTGAAATTGGAAAAAAAACAGCTTTTGCGTAGTAATAAATGTTTATATCTAAAATATGTGTTTTTTGCCCTGTATTAAAATCAAAAAATACCTCCAGGCAATTTCTACCTCAACATTTTTTGCGGAAAACAAAAGCGGGACAGAACAATCTATGTTTCTGACGGAACAATATGAATACCAATACTTTATGTAAATTAGGGAATAAACAAAGAACCCTTGTCAAACTGATGAGAAGCTGACAGTTGGAAGTATTTTCTAAAGTATATTATAAAGTAAATTTATAAGGGCGTCGAGCGGACCGCAAATAAAACCCAAAGACCTTCAAGTAATTTAAATGTTTATTAAAGTAGAATTTTAAAATATTATCATACTGCCCTGTGTACTACGACGTAGTCTACGACTGTGCAGCTACGAAAGATGCTACGAAAACTGTCCTTCAAGTGGAAACTGGTAACATAATCACGACATCGACAAGTTGAAGTCACAGGTAAGTACTTAGTAGAACCTAACCTAGAAGTGTGTTAGGTAGTGCAACGGAGTTCTACAAATTCTATGATGTCTCATAACTGAAGCTTATTTTTAAAACATCAAGTGACGGGACGAACAAATCGGGCCCGTGATGGTAAGCTACATGCCTGTCCATAACAGTTACAGTGCCACTCAGAGCTTTAAATTACAAAGATCTGAGACGCACTACCACTGCGCCCGTCACCCCGAGACGTAAGTTGAAAATTCCCATGTGCTTGTAATTTCACCAGTACCCTTTTCAAAACCGGAACACAGTAATGCTGACATTACTGCTTGGCTGTAGAATAATAATAATAATAACGCACACACTCAATAGGTAAGGTAGGCAGTACTACCTTGGACGAACTCTTTCACAAGGAGCTCTACTTCTACTTGAAAGCTACTTAGCTATAATAGCTCGTTTTAACTCGATCGCTACGCTATCTATTGCTATTAATCCAAAACAAATATATGTACTAATTGCACTTAGTGTAGAGTTGTAGTACAATACTATATAATATATATTATATAGTATATAATATGTGTTCTATTATGTTATAATATTATATTTATGTTGTGTCATAATTATATAACTCAAATTTTGGCTTATAGTATTTTGTAATTCTTGTTCTCAGTGTAACACCAAGCTATTATTTTATTCTGTTCGGCCCAATGGTTGACTGGTAGGGAATGCCTTATGACATTAAGTCCGCCATTTGCATTTATTGTGCAAAAAGTTTAAATAAATAAATATCTATAATTTGTCGACACTTTACAAGTATAATCAACTAAGATAATCAAGTAAGGAATTTAACTCTAAAGAAATTTCAAGGTCGCGTCGGTGGCCCAGGTTACCTTTGGCGTTAGATGAGAAGGATTTGAGTTTGATTTCCGGTATGACTAATATAGAAAACGAACTTTCCGTTCAAGTCTGAGTGCTCCCGATAGTACAGTCAACAGCACGTCAAGCTTGACTCTATGCACTTTGGACCGTTCTTATCGCAAGCGGCATAGAGTTGGATTTAAATCTTAAGTGTCAAGCTTGTCGTGCTTTTGACCTTCGGAGATGTGAGTAAGTGTATAACTGTACATGATACTCGTGTCAGGTTACATTTTAATATATTATATTATATCGTACCATAGTAACACGTATCATAAGTATGTTAGTCTATTTCATTTTATAACTCAATCCTATAATATTTCAAATAATTGTGACGTATATCTCACTGCTATTACAAATAGTGTTATAACTCAAAATATGTGAAATTCAAAATTATACCATTGTTGAATGTAAAATTTGATTATCTTCTCGTCAATAAAACCGTCGTTAAAATATTGTAAAAAACAACTAAAGGATATATACTTAACTAAAAATGAGACACGCTCTTGTGAGCTAGTTCTGGCCAAAATAGTCCTTATTCAAAAATATGAAATTATTTTCCTCTTTTATTCTGAAATATGTATATTTCACAAGTAGGAATTAACCTATACTTAAATTTACACAGATCTTTCACGGGAAGCGAGTTAATTCGATTTCTTCTATTCTGAGAAAGTATTCTTTTTGAGTTAATACACTATTGTATTAACAGTGTGATTATATCGTCATTAGTAGGCATATGACATTGATATTATTATAAGATTAACGAGAATCTATCGACTCATCCGTAGAACAAAGATCTATGTGTAACACTACTTGTTCTTAGGACATAGTACCTTTCGTTCGTTCTTCTTTGCTGTGGATGTCAGATCGACTGTTGTTTCATTTTATATTTCCGTAAACGAAATAACGTATATAAATTCTCAAAACACACATGGACCTTAATAACGAAATTTTAATGAAAATAGCCTTATTTGTTTACTAATAATGTTTCTTTATTTTTATTTTTTTCACAAAATCGGGAGAGCATAATATTTGTAAATAAATAAGGCTGTTTACATCAAAAATAGAAAATGACCAAAAATTTAGTTGGCGTAGTGTTAATTACGAATTCTATCATTCAGGACATTTTAATCAAAGCTTCGTTAAATAAGGTGCTTAATAATGCTGCTGTATTAACCTGCTGCTCTAACAGAAATACCCGTATCCTCTTAATTAAGAGACAATCGCTTTTAATCAAATCAATACAGTTATAATGGAATCCTTTTTTTACATCAACAAAATCTATGAATATTTTTAACATCAAAATGTGCAGTATGTTATACCGTAGTCAACATGTAAATAACATTTCGTTTATTTCAATCACTTTTTTAAGTGTACAAAAAAAACCGACCTCAAAAGTACGTGGAATTACATATAATTACCAAGTTTTATTAAAATCGGTTACCAGAAAGTTCGCCACTATACGGGACTTGATACAGGAGATAATAAAAATCGGTTCTCATTACTCAAAGTATATTGAGAGAGAAAGACGCCTTGAATTGGAGAATAGCAAAATCAATCATTAAAATAATTTCTCCTTACAGTAAAATTCAGGGACTATCTATAAAAATGAATCTTCATGCGTGAACAGCCACCCTTAGGGGTGGATGATTTTTTTCAAAGTTATGTGGGACCACTATGGAGGTACCCTCTTTTTAACAAAAAAGAATCATGAAAATCGGTTCACAGATACCGGAGTTATCGCGTAACATTAAAAAAAAAGAGTGTAATCATAAATTTTAGAATGATTACACTCATTCTAAAAATAATTTATATACTATTACACTTATTTACTTCAAGTCCAATGTAACTTTATATTAATATTCTGATTGAGATTTTCTTGTCATTGGTTAGTAGATTTTAATCGAAAAATTTCTTGTTCCAGGTAAAAAATGCAAAGCCGCAAGCGCTTGAAGAAGAGACGACAAAAAAGTGTGCGATGGACGTATCCAGCGAACACATAACTTGACTCCAATTAAAAAGTGTTATATATAGTGACAATGGCTTTACCTGTGTGGAAGGGTGTCTCTCCCAGTAGAGAGCTGGCGGTGATTGTTCTGTTACTCTGCTGGACAATAGTTTGCGACAGTCAGTGTCCAAAGTTCGCGGAGAAACCTCTTGAGACAAGGGTACAAGACGCTTCCATAGTTTTTAGGGCAGTTGTAGTTCAAACACATTATCAGGTAAGTTCTGACCATTACTCTTGTAGTTTGAAGTTTGGGGTCTTTATTCCCTGCGTTATTTATTTCTAAACCTCTCCGAAACAAAAGGAGTAAAAAGTTTTACACAATTGTTTGTTAACCTATTTGTGACAAGTAACTCCGTAATACCCTCGAGAAAGGTGATATTCCGGTGGGAAAATGGTGGCATGTACTAATGACTTCAATTTCAAAGTTTTGAACATTTGTGAATGCCTATTAGTAGTACTTATTGCGTCTTCTTCTTCTTATTGTGTCCATGCTTTTTTATTTTAGGATTATATTGACTTGAATAGTATTTTTTTATATAATACTAAGTGACGGGACGAAAAAGTCGTGTGCCTGGTGGTAAGCGACACGCCTGTCCATAACAGTCGCAGTGCCACTCATAGCTTTAAATCACAGATGTCTGAGGGGCACTGCCACTGCGCCCGACACCCTGAGACATAAGATGACAAGTCCCACATGCCTGTAATTTCACCAGCGCCCTTGCCCTTAGAAACTGGATCGCAGTAATGTTCTCATTACAGCTTGGCGGCAGAAATAGGTAAGGTGGCAGTACTTTCCTGGACGAACTCTTTCACAAGGAGCTCTACTGCTACCATGTTACTACCATAGACATAACATATAAATAGACGCCACAAGTGCACCTACTTCGCGTGTCCAATGTAAGCTATAAACGCTTAGTTGCCGCTGCTACGCGTCAGATTGCGCCGGGCCGTTATCGTAGTTTGACATCAATCGAAAACGCGAAAATGCCTAATTGTGCCATTAGAAACTGTAAAAACACCACAGCTATGAGACGATAAAAAACTGGGACATTTCCTTCCACAGTTATGTAATTTTGTAATCAGAATATGCATAATTTGTTTTAAAATTAGTTATTTTCGTTTCGAGAAAGCAAATGTGCAAACGAGCGTATACCGCGTGATTCATAATACATTGTGGCTTTTATTTAGTGCTGTACACTTGTGGTCCTTCTTTTGTAGGCCATGAATATTGAACAAGCGGTACTTTCGTTTATTGCATTCAGTTTCGTGGTACAGCCGCTTCGTCATGTTATTATTCAAATTTTAGGATTAGTGATGTTCACTTAATGCAGCACAGTTACCGATTCTGATAGATTTAGGAAATGAAAGGGATGATAATTCTTCAAACCTTAGAAAATGTTATGAAAATATTATATAAAGTTTGTTGTTGTTTTACTTTGTTTTCCGGAGCAACTTTTTTGCAAAACACGTTTATTTTACTACATTAATATTTCAATTTCGACTTCTTATATTCAACAAATACTTGAAAAATCATTATTTTAATGCGTGTTGCGTCTGTGTCTTCGATTGAATTAATCGCTTTAGTGCTGAAGGAGGGTTCCTATCGCTAAATAGCGCTTGCGACGTCATCGGATGTACAAAAAATATGGTTCGCTTGGTTTTCGTACAGATCGCGGTACTTGCGGTATCTATTTAAATATATGTATGTGATTGTCACCTTGACTGTGGTATCCGTGGCTGCGTAGAGATCTTCCCTCGTGCAAGTATTAAGGGGCACAATAGCAAGTGCTGCATGGACTGTGTTGGGGCACCGCAGTCACGTTGGGTTAGACTAACAACCCTGAACCACCATTTACACATCTTGTCTCTGGAGCGACCTACCTAAGTTCGAAGTCGATTCATGGATTCCACACGGGCCACCCCACATCATAATTGATAGTTGCTCTTGAGATCACTTGATTGAAACCAGGTTGTGACGGATTTTCTGTTTCTACCATGCACACCTATTAAATTGGCTTTAGTACATACATTAGTACGTACCAACACAACCAAAAACATTGTTGGCAGTATAAATATTTCACAATACTTTGGTGCCATTTTGCCTGAAACTAAGCCTCCACATAAAGAATGATATCCAATAGTAGATAGTGACGGCTGGAAAAAAATGTAGTTTATTTATTTGAACGACTTCTAGATATTAGCTGTCGACTTCTTTGCTTGCTCTCTAACCAGGTAACCGCCTGGATTTGCGACTTGGCCTGTTGTACATTAGCTTAAGGTTGCCTCAAATTGCCGCAGCAAGGCAACGCGACGTTGCTCTACATTAAAACGAGCAATGTAACCAATACTTTATATTCCATATGATAAGGCCTCAAATAGGGTTTCTTAAAAACAAAAAGTGAAAAGAAAGATCAAAGAAATTAACAAGAAGAAATACTCATTTGATTTCGTAGAAATGAAATTCCATTACGCATTGTCACCTCTAAAGTTTGCTGTTTCGCTTTATTATTATTTATAATGAACATTAATGAATGTTTCATTATTTCATAAATTGTCTTTGGTAAATCTCTTATCAGACTGTCGACTTGTGGATCGACAATTTGGTTAAGATTGCGGGAACCGCAGGGTGCGACTAGTCAAACTGTGGTCATTCGGTTGAAGCGCCTTCGCCTTGGTGTCCCAGTTTGCTCCCCTCATCGGTGTCCTTGCGGCAAACACATAAGTGCTCTGGGTCACCACGGTCTTTCCTGATAGCTAAGCGCCTGCCGTAACTCCCGACATGCAGCCCTGAACGACATCATCCGCCGGGCCTTAGCCACTGTTAACGTGCCCGCTATTCTCAAACCAAGCGGCATGTCGCGAACAGATGGCAAACGCCAGGACGGAATGACTCTCATCCCTTGGAGTATGGGCCGGGCCTGGTATAGGACGCCACATGTGCCGACACACTTGCCCCATCCCATCTCCAGCACACCAGCAAGAGAGCTGGCTCCGCAGCTGAGCTAACGGAAAGAATAAAAAGTAACAAGTACCAGGATCTCGGCTCCGACTACCTATTTACAGCCTTTGGAGTCGAAACCCTTGGCCCGTGGGGTCCCAGTGCCCTTTATCTGTACAAAATTTTATCAAAAAAATTAATAAACTGTCTGGGAAACCCAAGGGCAGCTACCTTGCCCAACGCATTAGCATAGCAATACAAAGAGGGAACGCTGCCAGCATCTTAGGCACCTTGCCGCGGGAACCCAATTTTACTCATATAATTTTAAAATCCTAGTTTTACTTTCTAGTAGTTAAGCTTTTATTGTCTTTTTCACCTTAGGTGTATATTATATTAATTAAATAACTTGGAAAAGAATCCGGTTTCGCGCATTTTTCGGTAACCGATTTCAATAAAACTTGGCAAATAACTAACTTTTGAGGTCGATATAAAAGGTATAATTATAGATATATTGTGTATTCTGCAAAAGTTAAGGGACAGCTTAGGATACTATAAAGGGTTAACGTTATGCTATTTCTGGTAGATCATAATTGTAACATCATTTCAGAGTCTAATTTTATCGGTGGTGGATTAAACTAAAGTTTGAAAAGTGCTGTAACTCAGAAATATTATCAAGTAAGTTTACAGAACATCCAAAGTTTACAATTCTTATTGTGTAAGTTTTTTACTTTGTGTACTATTAGTTATGGCTGCTTTTGTTGAAGTTCGACTTTAATGTTATTTCTATTCTTTTGTTCAGGTCTGAATTAATGAAGTTATCTTTTAAAGTTGATAATGGATAAACTTTGGTTGATCAAAAATCTTTGAAATTTAGCCAAATATAAACCCTACGTTGCTTGAAATAAGGCAGTAAAGAGTTAAATAAAGGTCGACTTGGTGATAGTGGTATCTTTTTCTTTTCTTTTTAATAAGGTTTTGTATTATGCTCTATATGTGATATGCGCATTTGACTTCTATCTCACCTGGTGGGAAGTGACGACGTGGTAGACTATGGAGCTTGCACACCTAAATAATGCTTATTCACTCTCGTCTTGAAAAGGCAGGGAATTCCACTCCATAGTCGTTGCCCGTATAAATGTGGAAGAGTAACGCTTCTTGCGAATCTTCAGCAGCAGTAGAGCTCCTTGTGAAAGAGTTCGTCCAGGGAAGTACTGCCACCTTACCTACCTTACCTCTTACTACCGCTATTTCTGCCGCCAAGCTGTGATGTCAGCATTAATGTGTTGCGGTTTTGAAGGGTAAGGCTGCTGGTGAAATTACAGGCACAAGGGGTTGGTCAACTTATGTTTCAGGGTGTCGAGCGCAGTGGTAGTGACCCTCAGATCTTTTCGATTTATAGCTCTGAGTAGCACAGATACTATTATGGATGCCTATCCATGTAGCTTTCCTTGAAGCCCACGACTTGTTCGTCCCGTTACTTGATGTTATAAAAAAATCTTTGAAATATCCACGACAAGGGGGTGGAACCCAAGTCTACATCTAGCCCGGTGATGGAAAGGGGATGGCGGAATTGAATCCTGTAATTCCTTCGCACTCTCCGTGATATATCCTGTAGAATGTCAATAAGCAGGCACCTTTACGGTGGTGTTCAGGGGTCTGCAGCTTCGTTTCCACTAATTCCGATATCTGTCGATGAATCTTTGATATCGACTTCGGTGGTTCAGCAGTTTGGCACTCTAAGTACTTGATGAGGAGGTTCAAGGTTCGTTTTTTATTGCGTCCGATCTGGGTGTTCTGGATAGTGACGGTATTTCAACAATAAGAAGACTGATATGATAAGTATTTATTCGATTAGAACTACAGTAGTCTATACGACCGTAGAAATTAACGTCCAACTCCGGACATGTAGTGGAATGAGATGTTCCAATTTATGTATAGGTACCTACTAACTACGTACTAACAAATTTTGATGAAGCTACAGGCACATGGCACACTTCTTAGATCTTTACTGCGCTGCTACTTATACGGGTAGGCGTGTCGCTTCACACCAGGGCCCCAAGTATACTAATTTTAAATTATCTCAGTTGTTTATCGATAGTGTCAATGCAGAATTTTGTGGTATTATGCTGAAAGTTAAGAATGGTGGCTGATCATTGGCTAGCCATCGAGTTAATATTCAACAGCCATTGCAATTTTTTCGTATTCTGCTCTTCAATAGCGAGTCGATGTCACATCGATCACATAGTCTAGTATCATTGTATATATATTTAATTTGA